AACTAAGCCCTGCCAGATGTATATTTTAACAAAAAGCTATTCTAAGGAATGGTGCTACACATCTATGATCCCAGCCCTTGGGAGGTGGAGGTAGGATGATCTGGAGTTTAAGGCCAGCCTCAACTACATAGCAAGTTTGAGGCCAGCCAGGGCTACATATAGTGAGTCCTAGGCCAGCCTTGGCTACAGTGTGAGACTTTGTCTCAAAAGAGCAATAAACAAGGAGCTGATGAGATGGTTCAGTGGTTAGAGTACATACTACTCTTTCAAAGAACTCAGGTTCGGTTCCTAGTATCCTCATCAGGTGGCTCACTGTAATTCCAGCTTAAAGGGATCCAACACCCTCTTCTGGTCTCCATGGGTACCTGCACTCCTATGTATACAAACCCACGCACATACACACATAATTTAAAATAAAACAATTATATTTTTTTATTTTCATTTTATGTGTATGAGTGTATTGCCTGCATGTGTGTAAGTATACCCATGTCATGCAATGGCCATAGAGGTCAGAAGAGGGCATGGATCCCCTGCAACTGGAGTTACAGATAGTTATTAGTTGCCATGTGGGTGCTGGGAATCGAACCCAAGTCCTCCCTAAGAATAGCCAGTGCTCTTAACCACTGAGCCATCTCTCCAGACCCCAAGACAAACATTTTTATAAAGCAAACAACAAACATTGAGGTCCAGTGAGACGACTCAGTAAAGGTGTCAGTTTGAGGACAAGCATTTAATGCCCGGGACTCATAGGGTGGAGAAAGAGAACCAACTCTTATAAGTTGTCCTCTAACTTTCACACATGTACCAGAGCATACCACATGCCTTCCCCTGCCACTAAATAAATAAAATGCAGTAAAAAATTGGCCAGGCGTGGTAGCACACACCTTTAATCCCAGCACTTGGGAGGCAGAGGCAGGTGGATCTCTGTGAGTTCCAGGCCAGCCTGGTCTACATAGTGAGTTCCAGGCCAGCTGGGCTACAGGGAGACCTTGTCTCAAAAAAAAAAAAGGTTTTCAAAACAGAAATCTTTCAATTTATGAAATCTTTTCTTTAAAAACGTATTTTATTTATTTTTATTTTATGTGTATGCGTGTATTGCCTGCATGTAGGTAAGTGCACCCGTGTCATGCAATGACCGCGAAGGACAGAAGATGCTGTCGGTGCTTGTTTGAAAGCATGAGGACCTGCGTTCGATTCCTAGAACCCATGTAAAAAGCAATGTATGGTGGCCTGCACTTGTAATCCCTGTGCTGGGGAGGTGCAGAGAGGCAGATCTCTGGGGGCTCCGAGACCTTGTTTCAAAAAACAAGGTAGAATGTTCCTGAAGAAAACACTTGAAGGTGACCCTCACATGCATGTGTACATAGGTACACACACACACACACACACACAGGAGCACATACATAATTGAATATACACCATAAGCTATTGTGCTGGATCACTTTAGTGTCAACTTGACACACCTGGATTGAGGGAGCCTCAATTGGGAAATTGCCTCCATTGGACTGGCCTGTGGCCATGTCTGTGGGGCATCTTCTTGATTGTTGAGTGATGTAGGAGGGCCCAGACCACTGTGGGTGGTGTCATCCCTGAGCAGGTGGGCCTGTGTTGCAGAAGAAAGCAGGCTGAGCAGGGGCCAGGGGAGCAAGCCACTAGGCAGCATTCCTCTATGTCCTGTGCTCCAGCTCCTGCCTGCCAGGTTCTTGTCCCAAGTTCCTACCTTGGGCTCCCTGATGAACTATGACTTGGGAGATATAAGCCAAATAAACCCTTTCCTCCCCAAGTTGGTATTGGTCATTTTGTCATAGCGATGAAAATACAAACTAAAACAGATATTCTATATTAATTCAAGGAATCTCTCAGATTCTACACAGTGTGAACAACTTCAGACTAAAGGGCAGTTTCCCCAGAGCTGCAAACGTTGACAGGGTTGAGATTTCAGCTATTGTAAATTAATGAGCTCTTTTTCTTAATGTTATTTTATTTATTGAGGGTAGTTTTTGTTGTTGCTTTGTGTCCTAGTTTCTCCATTCATTGCTGTGACAAAACACTCTGACCACTACCAACTTGGGGAGGAAAGAGTTTATTTGTCTTACACATTTCCCAGATTGCAGTGCGTCAGGGAGTCCAAGGTAGGAACTCAGGGCAGGAACCTAGAAGCAGGAGCTGGAGCACAGGCCATGGAGGAATGCTGCTTACTGGCTTGCTCCCCTGACCCATGCTCAGCTTGCTTTCTTATATAACACAGGCCCACCTGCTCAGGGGTGGCACCACCCATAGTGAGCTGGGCCCTCCCACATCACTCAATAATCAAGGAGATGCCCCACAGATATGACCACAGACCAGTCCGACGGAGGCAATTCCCCAGTTGAGGCTCCCTCTACCCAGGTGTGTCAAGTTGACACTAAAGCTATCCAGCACACTTTTAATATTTTTATGTGTATGAGTGTATTGCCTGCATGCATGTAAGTGCACCCATGTTGTGCAATGCTTGTAGAGGTCAGAAGAGGGCAACGGATCTCCTGGAACTGGAGTTACGGGGACAGTTGCCAGGCGCCATGGGGGTGATGGGAATCGGACCCAGCCAGAGCTCTTAACCACTGAATCATCTCTCCAGCCAGGAACTCGCTATGGAAACCAGGCTGGCTTTGACCCATGCCCTCTACAAGAGCAGCCAGTGCTTTTAACCATTGAGTGATCTCTCCAGCCCCAAATGACAGATATTTTTAATTTTACATGTATACGAGTTTTGCCTAATGTAAGTGCACCCATGCATATGCAGTACTCACAGAGGCTGGAAGAGGGCATGAGATCCCCTGGAACTGAAGTTATTGACGGTTCTTAGCAACCATGTGGGTGTTGGGAACCCAACCTGGGTCTCCTACAGTGTTCTTAACCACTGAGTCATCTCTCCTCTCCAACAGACATTTTTTTTTTTTTTTTGAGACAGGGTTTCCATGTAGCCCCAGCTGGCCTGGAACTTGCTATGTAGACCAGGCTGGCTTCGATTTCACAAAAGATTTACCTGTCTCTGCCTCCAGAGTGCTGGTATTAATGGTGTGTGCCACCACACCTGGCCCTTTTTTCTTTTTTGGTCTTTTTGAGACAGGGTCTCCATGTAGCCCCAGCTGGCCTGGAACTCACTAGGTAGGCCAGGTTGGCCTTGAACTCAAAGATCCACCTGCCTATGCCTCTTGAGTGCTGGGATTAAAGGCATGTGCGACCATGCACAGCTATTTTGTGTTTCTTTAATTTTTAATTTTTTTTTATGTGTATGCTTGCATGTAGGTTAAGTGCACCTGTGCCATGCAATGCCCTCAGAGGACAGAAGAGGCTGTCAGATCCCCTGGAACTGGAGTTACGGACAGTTGTTAGCCACCATGTGGGTGCTGGGATTCGAACCCGGGTCTTCTGCAAGAACAGTGTTCTTAACCGCTGAGCTATCTCTCCAGCCAGTATTTTGTGTTCTTAAAGTGAACACGAAGATTGGAACCTCTTAATTTGCTTGATTTTGTAGGGTTTTCTGGGTCAAGAGGGCAGTGAACCATTTTCATAGGTCACTTCAGGCTCTTATTTTCTTTTATGTGCATGAGTGTATTGCCTGCATGCATGTAAATGCACCTGTCATGCAATGCCCCTGGAGGTCAGAAGAGGGCATCAGGCATGTATTAAGTGCAGCATGTAAATGTACCCTTGTCAAGCAATGCCCGTGGAGGTCAGAAGAGGGCATCAGATTCCCCTGGAACTGGAGTTATAGATGGCTCTTAGCCATCATGTGAGTGCTGGGAACTGAACTGCGATCCTCTTCAAGAGCAGCCAGTGCTCTTAATCACTGAGCCATCTCTCCAGCCCCCCCGCAACAGACCTTTTAAGACATCCCTGTCCCAGAAGTATGTTCTGTACCTCCACTACAAGGGATTAATTAATCCAGGGTAGGAACCATAAACCTCCTACATTAAAGAGAATGTTCAGTTAGATCTAATTATTTTGCTAATTGACCTCCGAAGAAGTCAACAAAACGTCCACTTGATGCCACAGGTTTAGTGAACTCAGGGCATGTGGTGGGATTTGGGTGTTCCTTTTATTAGATTAAGGTTGCAGTCCAGGGAGGTAAGCCATGTTTTAGCATCATTAGATCAGATACTATTTCATTAAGGAAAAAAATTGAAAATCTTGGCCTTCACCTCTAGAATTTTGTCATCCCTAACATTTAACTATTCATTAGGTGAAGAATCTACATTCTTCAATCTGTTGACATTCAATAGATTTTCCAAATAAAAGAGAATAAAGTATGAAGCCTTTGAAGGACAAGTATGGTGATTTATATGTTTAATCCCAGCAGCTGGGAGGCAAAGGCAGTTGGGATCTCTGTAAATTCTAGGTCAGTCAACTGGTCATGGTGGCATACACCTTTAATTCCAGCACTCAGGAGGCAGAGGCAGGTGGATCTCTGTGAGTTCAAGGCCAGCCTGGTCTACATACATAGGGAGACCCCGTCTCAAAAAGAACCCCCCCCCAAAACAAATTCCAGGTCAGTCAGTACTGCATAGTAGGACCCTGTCAAAACAAAACAAAACAAAACAAAACAAAAACCTTTTGAAGGAATAAGCAATTTCCCAAGCATTGCCACACCTCCCTGGTTCACTTATCAATGACTAGTTGAGAAGGCTCTAAGGTATTACAGAATGCTACTCTTTAAAAACACTTCATTTCTCAGACAAAATGAAGACTCCAAACCTGACAAAAGCCGTAAGTAACTTCAAACTCAAAAGCTCCACCATCAGGAGTGTGTCTCTGTGTGCATGTGTGCACGTATATGTGCATATTCAAATATACAAAATACAGAGGAACAATACCTATAAAATGGAGAAAAGGCAATGAATACTCTTGGATAGAGATTATTTTCTTTTAAAAAAAGGATCATTAATCTTTAATCTTAGATCCTATTACAGTATCGGGAATCAGCAAGCAGATACCAAAGTCAGAGTCCAGTAAACATCTCATTTTATAATACTCTTTTATTTGATTAAAGAATCTGCCTTCTTTGTGTACACTGGAATGTTATACTCCCTATGTATTTTACAGGGTTACAAAATGTCTCATTTTAAATATTACCCCAAAAGTAATTTCAGAAAAAAGTCTTTGAAATTAAACTTAACTTTAAAAATCATATGGACAAACAACTCTCAAATACAACTGGATTAATAAGATTTCTTATCTACTTAACTACATAACAGACTTCTTGTCCCAGTCTCCTTCCTCAGAAAAACCTTGTGAAAACCAAGTAAAAGTTAAGGATTCTTCCCTGATGTGGTTTAGGTGAAAGGGAAAGGCCAGAAATTTCTTTGGCAAGCCATTGCAGCCACAGCCATTTGTGTGTGACTACTGTTTCATGGACAGTACACTCTTGCCAGGTGTTCAGAGAGAGCACTGCTCTCCAGTCAGTTGAGAGTGTGGAGGTCATCTGTGGTCATGTACCTCTTTCCACTGCTGGCACCTACAGCCTCTGAGTGCAATGCTGGCAGGACTGGCTGATGTAGCCTCCACTGAAAAGGCAATGGATGAAATGGAGCTGAGAAACAATCACTACATGATGACACGAAAAAGGCTAAGGAGAACGTAAAGGAAGGATTTCAGAGACAGGGACAGATAGGATGGAGGAAAATGCTAGATTAGATAGAAGGAAATGGGTATGGGTAACCCCTACATATCAATATTATCAATTGCCTCTTGAATCCTAACACTAATGGGGCAGATGCAGTCTTCTTAATGATTCAGAGCCAATGGAAAATGGCACAAAGATTCATTGAACACAGTCTGCAGAATCATAACCTCATTTTTGCTGGAAAGGAGAGGACTAATGACAGAAAGAGCAGCCAGGTAGAGGGAGGTGGTAAACATGTGGAATTTCAATGTTCTGCAACATCTCTGAGAGATTATGCTTTAAATCAATCATGCACATGTGGTGAATGGAAGCTTGGGTAGCACTAGCAGCAGACAGGATTACATGTGGAAGTGGATAGAACCATTCTCCATTAGACATTTTGAAGAGCTGTGTACATCTTAAAAGCTGCTATCTTTAACATCGACACACGTTGAGATTCACAGTACTACTTTAAACTGGAAGGGAACAACTTGGCAAAAGAATGGAGCAATGGATGGGCATGAGAAAGGACATAAGACAACTTTCAATTTTAATGTCTAGACTCAGTACCCCTTCAGTAGTTCACTGGTACTGTCCAAAAATCAAGAATGGGTTAGATAACCTTCTGGGAGTGCCAAATACAATACCTATGAACAGATAATCCCAGTGCTTGGCTGAGAGTACAGAAAGAAAACATGAAAGTAAGGAAATATGAAAGATTAAAATCTACAGAGAAAACTTCTTGAAACAAAGTATGAAATACACCTATATTTAGGGATTAAAATAAAGGGGCAGCTTGGGCAAAGGCAGAGGAGGTGTTTACTGGGTGATTTCCTGGAGAGCTTGCTTCATGCTGGCCAGTAAAATCTGCAAAAGAAATCAGCAGCCTTTCCCTTTATGTCTGTGTCATTTCTTTGTCAAAGAATGTCTCTGTGACGCCGGAACACTGGGGGTGAGTTGAGAGTCCTTGCGCGTAGAGAACGTGCACTGTTACCAGAAAAAAAAGGGTCTCCAATGGCTTGTAAATTTGGAAAAACTCTTCAGCCACTTTTGGCTTCTTTTCTATTAATCTGAAATTTTTCCTTTCGGTTCTCTCTTCTTGGTATTACAGGATTTCATACTTATCCACAAGGAAAGTGGTCTCTGTAGAAAACCTAACAGGGCTGTTTCCATCTACCTGGGTCACTTTGGTAACCTAGGAAAATAAAGCATAGTAAAGCCAAAGAAGGTTAAGTGTCCAAAGACACTGACTAAATTTTCAGATCAAATTCTCTAAAAGCAGAATTAAACGTAGCTTGGAAATAGTAAGGAATGTTCAATTCACAATTGCAGCTCTCCTGCATCACTCTTCCACGTAAACTAGATTATCTAATCTATTCTCCGGATAAAAGACAACTTTGCAAGCAGACAGACAGCAGCAACAGTAAGTAAAAGCTCCAGAATGAGTGGCCATGGCCCAGCTCTGCCACAGAAATCACATGAAATTCACATCCTATCAGGCTGATAGATTAACATTCTGACCCCAATGCAGTGTTCTAACTCTTCAACTTTATGTATCAACTGTCTCAGTCTCTTATGTACAAAGCTCCACCAAGCTGCTCCTCTCATACTGATTTTCTAGGTATGATTGTTTTCCTCTAGATTTACTTATTTTTTTAAATTTATTTAATAACCACATAATTAGTAGAAGCATTTCATTACAACAGTTTTTTGTTTTGTTTTGTTTTTGTTTTTTTGGTCTTTTTGAGACAGGGTCTCCCTGTAGCTCCAGCTGTCCTGGAACTCACTATGTAGACCAGGCTGGCCTTGAACTCACAGAGATCTGCCTGCCTCTGCCTCCCGAGTGCTAGGATTAAATGCGTGTGCCACCACGCCCAGCTACAACAGTATATTTTATGTGTGAGTGTTTTGCCTATATGTCTGTGCACCATGTGTGTGCCTGGTGCCCAGAGCCAGAAGAGAGTGTTAGATCCAGAGCTATAGAGTTGTGAGCTGTCATGTGGGTGCAGGGAACCAACCCTGGGCCCTCTGGTGCTCTTAATTCCTGAGCCATTTCTCCAGCCCTCTGACTGGTCTTTTCAATGAAATGTTTTTCTCTCTCTCTTTCTCTGTGTGTGTGTGTGTGTGTGTGTGTGTGTGTGTATGTGTGTGTGTGTGTGTGTGTGTATACATGTATTTGTAGGTATACTTATACTTCCTGATCCTATAGAAGCCAGACGTCAATGTCAGGTGTTCTATAGATTTCTACCTTTTCTTTTAATTTTAAAAAATAGTATTTATTTATTTATTTATTTATTTTTGGTCTTTTTGAGACAGGGTCTCCCTGTAACCCCAGCTGTCCTGGAACTCACTATATAGACCAGGCTGGCCTTGAACTCACAGAGATCCACCTCCCTTTGCCTCCCGAGTGCTGGGATTAAAGGCATGCGCCACCACGCCCGGCCTCTATTATTTTTACTTTATGTGTATGAGTGTATTGTGTACATGTATGTAAGTACACACGTGTCATGCAATGCCCCTAGAAGTCAGAAGAGAGTGTCGGAGTCCCTGGAACTGGAGTTACAGACAGTTGTTAGCTGCCATGTGGGTGCTAAGAACTGAACCCAGGCCCTCTGTAAGAGCAGCCAGTTTTCTTAACCACTGGAGCCATTGCTCCAGTCCCTCTTTTGAGTGTTATGTCTGCATGTATGTAAGTACATCATGTGCATGCAATGCCTGTAGAGGTCAGAAGAGGGCAATGGATCTCCTGGAACTGGAGTTTGGGATAGTTATTAGCTACCATGTGGGTACTTGGAACTGAACTCAGGTCCTCTGCAAGAGCAGCTGGTGCTCTCAACTCCTGAGTCATCCATCTCTCCAAGCCCCCTCCACCTTAGTTTTTGAGACAGGGCTTCTCACTGAAAATAGAGATTGCCTTTGTACATGGAACTGGCTGGCCAAAGAGCCCCAGGGATCTGCTTGACCCCTCTCACCTGCTAACCCTCATCTCCAGGCTGGGGTTACAGACATATGCTACTAGGCACCACTTTTACATAAGCGCTGAGGTTCCAAACCCAGGACCTCATGCTTGCATAGCAAGCTCTTACCCAAGAAGCCATCTTCCCCAGCCCCTCTTTTTCTAATAAATAACTTTCTGGTTTAATTAACTTTAACAATGGTACCTATAATGGCACAAACACATGAATCACTGACTCATATTTAAAAAAAATTTTTTTTAAATGTGTATGGGTGTATTGCCTGCATGGATGTAAGAACACCCCCACCATGTAATACCATGGAGGGCATCAGATCCCATGGAACTGGGCTTATGGATGGTTTTTAGCTATCATGTGGGTGCTGGAAACTAAACCTGGGGTCCACTGCAAAAACAGTTTGTTTGTTTTTTAATATTTTATTTATTATTTTTATGTGTATGTGTGTATTGCCTGCATGTAGGTAAGTGCACCCATGTCGTGCAATGCCCACAGAGGACAGAAGAGGCTGTTGGATCCCCTGGGACTGGAGTTACGGACAGTTGTTAGCTGCCATGTGGGTGCTGGGATTCGAACCTGGGTCTTCTGCAAGAACAGCCAGTGTTCTTAACTGCTGATCCATCTCTCCAGCCCCAACAGTGTTTTTTTAAAAAAAAATTATTTATTATTTTTATGTGTATGCGTGTATTGCCTGCATGTAGGTAAATGCATCGGTGTCATGCAACGCCCACGGAGGACAGAAGAGGCTGTCTGATCCCCTGGAACTGGAGTTACAGACAGTGGTTAGTGGCCATGTGGATGCTGGTATTCAAACCTGGGTCTTCTGCAAGAACACTCAGTGTTCTTAACGGCTGAGCCATCTCTCCAGAACCCCAGTCAGTGCTTTTAACTGCTGAACCATCTCTCTAGTTCCAACTCATATTTCTAAAAACTACTTTTATTTTCTGTTATGTCTGTACACGCGCATGCACATACACACACATATCACAGTATGCACGTGGCAGACAGAGGACAACTTTTGAGAGTCAGTTCTTTCCTTCCACCATGTGCATCCTAGGGATCAAACTCAGGCTGTCAGGCTTAGCAGTAAGTACCTTTACCCATACAGCCATTTGTATTAATGAAAGGAGCTGGGCCATAAGCAACCTAAAATGTAACTTCATTTGTATTAGAAACACTCTTTTTCTTTTGGTGGAGCTGGGGATCAAACCTAGGGCAGGCATTCTAGGCAAACACTTGCCACTGAACGACATCCCCAGTCCTACACAGTAATACAGTAATTATGCTTGTAAATAAAAAAATTGGGGGCTAGAAGTACAGCTCAGTGGTAAACCTGGCAGGGCCTAGATTCTTAAGGCCCTGGGTTGTATCCTCAGCACAATAAAATATATAAAATAAAATTATTTTAATTTCTTAGGTAAAAACTAAAGGGACAACAAGGCATTGCAAAGTTATATACTGGGTATTCTGGCAAATGGTTTTAAGATATATGAGGTTAAAATAATAGACAATTTAATGTATGTGAATCTTGTACAATTCATAAATGCTTCTTAGGTGAATCAATCTCTCTTTCTTTCTCTTTCTCTCTCTCTCTCACTCTCTTTTATCTAGAAAAGAAAACTGAGGGCCAGTGAGATGGCTCAGTAGGTAAAAGTACTTGCTGCCACACTTGATCACCTGCTGTCCTCTGACCACCACATGAATACTGCGGCATGTGTAAACCCACACAAAAGAAAAATTTAAATGCTAAAAAAAGGCTGAGAATAAAGGTTCACACCTTTAATCCCAGCACTCTGGAGGCAGAGGAAGATGGGCAGATCTCTGAATTTGAGACCAGCAAGTCTGGTCTACATAGCAAGTTCCAGGCTAGTCAGGCTACATAGTGAGATATTGTCTCAAAATAAATAAATTGCCTGGCAGCACATGCCTTTAATTCCAACATTTGGGAGGCAGAAGTAGGCAGATCTCTGTGAGACTGAGGCCAGCCTGCTCTACATAGTGAGTTCCAGGCCAGTTGGGGTTTCAGGGAGACCCTGTCTCAAAAAGCCAAAAATAAATAATTTTTTATTTTTATGTGTATGAGAGTTTTGCCTACATGTAAGTAGACCCTTGTTTTACAATGCCCAACAAGGCCAGAAGAGGGTATCAGATCCCCTGGAACTGGAGTTACAGACTGTTGTTAGCTAACATATGAGTATTGGGCATGGAACGTGGGTCCTCTGCAAAAGCAGCCAGTGCTCTTACTCATGAGTCATCTCAGCCCCAGCTTTTCTGAGTTTTTGCCTTGACTTGAAGCTGTGACACCCATCAGACAACTTGTCCCATATATCATCCTATTAAAATGGAGTACCTGTATGTTGCAGTAATTTTTTTTGGAGATGAAGGAAACTTGAACAGGGAAGAAGTCATTGGGCTGCCCAGTAATGCTGAACTCCAGACTGCCACTCTTATTTTTGGCATCAATCACTGGCAGGCACCACTCCAAGGTATTTCGCCGACTGTCATGTCGATATTCCCCATCAATCTCACCAATCACTGGTGCACCAACACCAGATCTGTCATGAGAAGCATTTGGTCAAGTTAGATATTCAGAGTTCAAAGAACTCCACCAAGGAAAACCAACTCTAAATTTGATCATGCACCTCAAATTCAGTCTCAAATTTTCTAAAAATTAAGATACTTAAAAATTTCAAAGATCAGAGTCCTAACACCTTGGCTAAGGATCTCATTCAACTTCCTTCATAGATGCAGATATAGCTAATAATAAGTATCTGGGGGCTGTCCACATTTAAGGTCTAGACCTGGGAGCTGGCAGGGAACTAAGACAGCAAAATGCCTGAAGGAAGATATGCTTGCAAAAATCACTAATGGTTTGTTAGCCTATTAAGGAATTTTTAACAATACAACTCTTTTTATAAATAACACTGGAAAATAAAGCTGATAGTGGGGATGAGGTACTCTACACACCAATAATAGAGGTGAATGTGGATCTTTGAGATTTGTTTTCAAGAGGTTTGAATGTTTCAAAACGTACTGAAGTCAATGCTAGTGAGTTTGACTTGTAATCCAGTCACTGGAATTTATTTGGTAAGTGAAAAGTTTTTAAAAGCATGATTATCAATTCTGGGCACAACAGAAATTCAATGGGTAAGAGATCTAGGGAAGAATCAGTACTAGTGAGGATGTACTTTGCACTCCCACAGATGGCTGACAGGCAGTGTCACCTACTCCCACACATTCTAAATTTACCATCTCTTAATTCACCAGTGACATTCAATGCTTATATTAGGGGAAGAGTAAAGAAGGCAAAAAAGGAAACCTCAAGGGTGGCAAAAAACTATTAACTCTTTCCTATCGAATTTAGTGCTGATTACGTTCCTTCGCTGTGATACAACTCTGATTCCAACTTCTAATCTGATCGGCACTGATACTAGAGTGAAATGCTCTCTATAGGTATCTTCTAAAGGCCACTGCAAAACTGAGCTAAGACACAGGAAGCCACAACCAAATTACATGGCAGACAGACAGGCCTAAGAATTGTGGCATCCTAAAAATAGTCCAGAAAAATAAATCTCAACAAAACTCCACCAGTCACCAGTGCTCAAGTTCTACAATGGTTCAAGGTAGCCATCTATTGTGAAGAATGACAACCTGTGACAATAAGACAGTTACCCTATTATTTGTTTTTTTTCAATATAGGGTCTTTCTATGTAGTGCAGGCTAGCCTTAAAATTATAACTCTCTTGCTTCTGCTTCTCAAGGCTGGAATTATAGGCATGTTAGTTATCCTGTTAAAAGGGATATTGGTAATACAACATTTCTAAAAATGGAAATAATAACCAAACTTAACCAATATAAAATCCTCAGTTATCAAAAGGGAACAAAACTAGAAATTTACTATTTTGCCTGCAATAATAACTGGGCAATCCAACAGTAAAAAATATTCTAGAGTACACTCACTATTCTTCATAATCAAATCCTGTATTTACTCATGGCAGGGCTGAGGGGTGAAGGGGAAAAGCTAAGATGGTCTGGTGAAGTGATTGCACAACTCACTAGAAATGCTATGAGAAGTAAACTTGAGGTCAAAAGTATTTCCAGATGATCCCAGAGACTAAGCTACTTAAATATACAACAAAAAATGTTGAGAACTGGGTTGGAGAGATGGCTCAGCAATTAAGAGTATGTACTACTCTTCCAGGGAACACAAGTTCAGTTCCCAGCAATTACATCCGGTGGCTTACAACTGCCAGTAACTCCAGCTTCAGGGAAATAAGATGCCCCTGGCCTCCACAGGCACCTGCACTCCTGTGCCTATGCCCACACTTAGAGGCATACATACACATCCTTAAGAAATGGTAAAAAAGGAGCTGGAGAGATGGCTCAGCAGTTAAGAGCACTGACTGCTCTTGCAGAGGACCTGGGCTCGATTCCCAGCACCCACATGGCGGCTACGAACCGTCCTTAACTCCAGTTCCAGGGGAATCCAAAGCCTTCTTCTAACCTCCGCAGCATTGCACAACATGGGTGCACTCACATACATGCAGGCAATACACTCATACACATAAAATAAAAATAATAAATTTAAAAAAAAGAAATAGTAAAAAAAAAAATTACTGGATGTGGGGGCACATGCCTTTAATCCCAGCACTTGGGAGGTAGAAGCAGGAAGACCTCTGTGAGGCCAGCCTGGTCTACATAGCAAGTTCCAGGTCAGCTGGGATTATAGGGTGACCTTATCTCAAAACAAAACAAAAGCATACAAACAAACCCCAAACAAATAAAACCAAAGAATAAATCTAAAAAATTATTAAAAATAAAAAGTATTGTTGGAGGGGAGTGCCAAGAATGCTGTCTTTTTTATTTTATGGTCTTTTTGAGACAGGGTCTCCCTGTAGCCCCACCTGGCCTGGAACTCACTATGTAGATCAGGCTGGCCTTGAACTCTCACAGATCCACCTGCCTCTGCCTCCCCAGTGCTGGGACTAAAGGTGTGTGCCACCACACCCAGCTCCTGCATGCTGTCTTTTTGTTTGAGGCAGGGTGTCATACTGTTATCTCAGGCTGACCATGAACTCACTATGCAGCCCAGGCTGGCCTCAAACTAGAGGTTACCTTCCTGCTTTGATTTCTTCAGTGCTGGGTTTAGAGGTTTAAGCCACCAAGGCCAGCGGACATGTACTTTTTTTTTTTTTTTAAATGTCATTCATGCAAATATCTTTTTAATTTTTTTTTTTTTTTTTTTTTTTTTTTTTTTTTTTTTTTTTTAAAAAAAAAAAAAAAAAAGAGGACGATAAATCTTTCACTGTGAAGGTTGGCCTAATCCACAGAGATCCACTTGCCTCTGCCTAAGTGCTAGGATTAAAGGCATGTGCCACCATGCCCGGCTTCTTATTTTTATTTTAAGTGTATATGCGTAGGTAAGTGCACCCATGTCAGGCAATGCCCACAGAAGACAGAAGAGGCTATCAGATCCCCTGGAACTGTAATTACAGACAGTTGTTAGCTGCCATGTGGGTACTGGGATTTGAACCCGGGTCTTCTGCAAAATAAATAAAATACTGGAAAAAAAAAAAAAGAAAGAAAGAAAGAAAGAAAGAAAGAAAGAAAGAAAGAGGACTAGGACTGTAGCTCAGTAGAGCTTTTGACTAGTGCAGGTCTCAATGTTTAATCCTTAGTACCAGGGGAGAATAGGGGGGTCAGGGGCAAATATCTTAGAATGGATAGTTAGAGAGGTTTTGCCTCCAAAATTAGTTCCAAAGCGCCAGGAACTAACCCTATAAGCCAATGTAAGGGACAGGATTAACAGAATTCTACTTACGGGAGTGGGATGGTGATGACCACATCATTAAGTTCTAAATTATCTTCTTGTAGTTCATATTCTATGTTGACATCACAGCCATTTCCACTTTCTGAGGGCCAGCAATTAACTGAGAAGATAAACAAGGCAGTCACACTAAGAGTATGAAGAATGGAAAGTTAGGATGGCAAGCACAAGCTGACTAATGGAAAGTCTATCTAAAACAATTTCAAAATGAAAGACATTAAAAATTAAAGTGAATGATTAAACAAAATGCAGCATCAAGTCCATTTTGAAAGGACAACTGTTTTGTCAAAAAGAACTTGTTATAACAGCAAAGATGAGTGAACACCAGTTAGAGGCACTTACTTGTCAGCGGAATAAAAGATTCCTCTGTTGTTTGTAGTCTCCACTTTAGTACCCCTACATCACTGTTGACTGGAAATGACTTCTCTGGATTCTTCAAGCCAATGAGAGACTCTGCAGTGAAAAGTTTTTTATCCACATTTGGATGAGTCTGGAATGAGAAAAGAAGGAAATCAGAGAGAGGTTCAGAGACGGTAAGAGAGGGGGCTGGAGAGATGGTTCAGCAGGTAAGAGGACTGGCTGCTCTTGCAGAGGACCTGTGTTTGGTTCCCAGCACCCACACGGTGGCTAACAACTGTCCTTAACTCCAGTTTCAGGGGATCTGATTCCCTGCTCTGGCCTCCATTAGCACTCACGCACGGGTGTACTTACATATACACAGGCAAAATATACATAAAAAAATATATGATTAAAAAAATTTTTTTAAATGCTAAGGAGGGGAATGAAAAAAATTTAAGAGAGGAAGTCAGCAAAATGGCTCAGGTGGCAAAGGCAGTTGCTGCCAAGCCCAACAACCTGAGTTTGATACTCAGGACCCACACAGTGGAGGAGAAAACCAGCTATCACAAGTTGTCCTCTGATCTCCACACATGTCATGGCACACACCTGCCCATACCCATCCCCACACGAAGAGTAAATAAATAAGCAAATAATATAGTGAAAAGATAGAGAAGAGACTGAGAATATAGCTCACCTGGCAGAGTGTTTGCCTAGCACATGAGGCTCTGGGTTCAACTGCCTGTAATCCAAACACTTTCAAGTTGAAGGCAGGATTAGAAGTTCAAAATTATCCTCTGCTACATAATGAGTCTGAGGCCCCCCAAAATAAAAGGTTAGAGAAGAAATAAACCCCCTCTGGGCTTGCATGACCCACAACCTAGACATCTAAAATAGAATTCCTATTAAATCGCAATATTTTTTTGATTTTGTGGAAAGATTTGCGTTCCATAAAGACTTAAGATTTAAGACATAGGCAGATATGATGACACATACTTGTAATCTAGTCACAAATTCAGGAAGTAGACAGGAGGATCAAGAGTTTGAGGGTAGCCTGAGCTACAATGAGTTCCAGGTTAGCCAGAACTATACAGTAACAGGGGCCAGGGATATAGCTCAGTGATAGAGTACTTGCCTATCACACACAAGAGCCTGGGTTCCATTCCCAGAGAACTGCAAAAAATTAAACAAACAAACCCAAAACAAAGAAGACGGTGTTAGGTAGACAAAAATCTAAATATTCAACCTCTTACATACCTGTAACTGCACTCCTTTTTTATCTTCATTTTCTACATGAAGACGAATTCGACCAAATTTGTCATCAGAGATCCTAAGCATGATCATGCCATGCAACTCCATATTCTGTAATCCTCCATCTCGTCCACAAATTAGTGTGATCTTTTCTTCAATCTTCATATGCACACTATAAAGCAAAGGTGAATAAATTTGTCAGAAAAGTACAAACCAGGCTAGAGATGTACTTCAGTTGGTAGAGTGCTTGCCTGGCATATATGAAACCCTAGGTTTCATCTCAGGCACCACATAAAACCAGGTGTGCACATGCCTTAGTACCTACCCTTGTGAGGTGGAGGCAGGAGGATCCTGAGTTCAGATCATCTTTGGCTCATAGTTTGTCAAAGCCAGCCTGGACTACATGAGACCCTGGCCTTAAAAAAAAAAAAAAAAAAAAAAAAAAAGACGGGGCTGGAGAGATGGCTCAGTGGTTAAGAGAACACACTGCTCTTGCAGAGCACCCAAGTTTTGCTCCTAGCACCTACACTGGGTGGCTCACAACAACCTGTCACTCCAGTTCCACATACCAAATGCCATCTATGGGCACTTGTACTCACAAGTATTCAGAACTGCTACCTCCACATTTTATACATAATTTAAAAATAAAAATAAATCTTGCATAGGCACTTCAGTGAGTCCAGAGATTTATCCAGATGTAACTGTTCATTTCAAAGAGAACAGAGTACAAACAATAGTCTCCTTTTACACGTACCTGATAAAGGTATCCTCCCAGACTCATCTTTCATTTGACCTCAAAACTATCAGCAACAACAGAAGGTCTGGTACAAGAAATCTGAGTCACGAGTGTGTAAACTTGAGTAACCTATAACTTAAAATGTCACTGCCAACACTGACTCAGCTCTGAGAAAAGACAAATCAAAATATATTGGATTCAAGTAAATCCTTAAAAGGCAAAATATTAATTTGCATTAAAGATCTTTATAATGCCAGGCACAGTGGCACAGGCCTTTAATCCCAACATTCAGAAGGCAGATGCAGTAGGATCTCTGAGTTTGAGGCCAGCCTGGTCTCCATAGTGAATGCAGGCCAGCTGTGGCTACAAAGATAAAAAAGATGTCTCAAAAAGATTTAAAAAAATTTTTTTTATAAATTTTGTATTAAAGATTGATTATTCTTATAGTTTTAATTAGAAAAAGATATGCCAAAATATTGCATGGAATTAACATAGCTCTAGCCCTCTAACTCAAGTTCTTTCAAAAATATTTTACTTACAGCACTCAGGAGGCAGAAGCAGGCAGATCTCTGTGAGTTCAAGGGCAGCCTGGTCTACAGGGAGACCCTGTCTCAAGAGAACAAAAATATTTTTACTTTTTATTTTTAAAAATACTTCATTTAGGGCCAGGTGTGGTGGCACACACCTTTAATCCCAGACTCGGGAGGCAGAGGCAGGTGGAGTTCTGTGAGTTTAAGGCCAGCCTGGTCTACATAGTGAGTTCCAGGACAGCTGGGCTACAGGGAGACCCTGTCTCAAAAAAGACCAAAAACAAAAAAAAATTTTTTTAATTAATTTTTATTTATTATTCTTGAAAGCATTTTATTATTATGTGAGTGTCTTGCCTGAATTCATGTAAGTCACACAATGCCCCCAGAGGTCAGAAGAAGGCATCAGATCCTCTGGAAGTTACAGACTGGAGTTACAGATGGTTGTCAGCCTCCATGTGTGTGCTGGAAACTGAACCTGGGTCCTCTAGAAGAGTAGCCAGTGCTCTCAACCTCTGAGCCACCTCTCTAGTCCCTCAAGTTCTTTTTTTTTAAAATAAGGTCTCAGGTAGCTGAGGCTGATCTTGAATACCTGATCTTTCTGACTCTACCTCCCAAGTACTAAGACAACAGTCATGTACCATTATATCCTGTTGTACAAATCTATTTAAGAAACTTTTGGAGTAGATTCATTTATTTTTATTTTATGAGTGTTTTGCTTGCATGTAAGTGCACCTTGTGCACACAATACCCACGGAGGTCAGAAGTGGGCACTGGATCCGCTGGAACTGGAGTTACAGGTGATTCTCAGCTGCCATGTGGGTGCTGGAAACTGAACCCCAATCCCAAGAGTAGCCAGGGCTCTTAACTGTTAAGCCATGTCTCCAGCCCCTCTTCAAGTCTTTTTAAGAGACGAACTATACAGTAGGTACAGACAAGTTACTTTTTCTATATTAGCTGATAAAAGACAAATATAAAACTTCATAGAAAATAAATGGTCAGCTGGGCATGGTGGCACATAACCAGCACTGGTTATACAGAGGCAGGCAGATCTCTGTGAGTTCCAAGACAGCCTAGACTACATAATAAGTTTCAGGCTAGTCAAAGCCTACATAATGAATAAGAAAGAAAAGAGATAGCCAAAAGCCCCCAATCATGTTTAAGGGGTGGGGGATGACCCAAAACTTCTGGCTACTATCTGGAATATGCTCTGAATTCAAAGATTAAAAGGTACAGGGCTGGAGAGATAGCTCAGTGGTTAAGAACATTGGTTGTTCTTGCAGAAGACCCAGGTTTGAATCCCAGCACCCACATGGTAGCTAACAACTAACTGTCTGTAACTCCAATTCCAGGGGATCTGATGGCATCTTCTGTCCTCTCGGGCACTGCATAACACAGGTGCAACTTACCTACATGCAGGCAATACAGTCATACACAGTAAAGAAAAAAAAAAAAAAAGGTTAAAAAGTACAAAAATGGGGCTAGAGTATATGTAGTTAGTGATAAACAGTGTGTTTAGCATATGCAAGGCTCTGGCTTTGATCCCTAGCACAAAAATAAAAACAGAAGAATCGACAGGATTTAAAGATAACTTTGAAAATTTGTGCTGTCTGTCCTTGCAAAGATCCCCACTTACCTTTCCATGTTAATAGGTGGAGCATGCACTTTGGTTGCTTCAGAGGTACGCTTCCCCATGTTAGAAGACATGATCGTTTCACCTTCAGATTTCAATTTGTCCACAAAATTATCTACTTCCTTTCCTTTGGCTCCAAGTTTCAAAGCCTTGCTGGGGCCTGAAGGTCTAAATTGAAGAATACAAAGTAAGAAAATATACATCATAAAAATACAAAAAGCCGCTGGACACGGTAGTGCACAGCTTTAATCCCAGCACTTTTGAGGCAGATGCTGGCAGATCTCTGTGAGTTTGAGGCCAGCCTGGTCTACACAGTGAGTTCCAGGGAGACCCTGTCTCAAAAAAAAAAAAAGCCACAAACATTAATAGCCTTCTAACAACAAAGCTTTCTCTGAAGCTATTAAGAAGAATGTGATAGCTGGGCCTGGTGGCACGCCTTTGATCCTAGCACTTGGGAGGCAGAGGCAGGCAGATCTCTTGTGAGTTCCAGGCCAGCCAGGGCTACAGAGAGACCCTGTCTCCAAAAAAAAGAGGAAAGTAATAAGTTAAAGGAAAAACCATTCCTAGTGCTGGTGGACAACTAATACACTGACATCTAATATGAACCTGCTCCAACTGACAGTCAATATTAATTATATGTTTCAAGTACCAAAGACCAAAGGTTCCATTTTATAATCACAAATAATCTGATGAAAATTTAGAACCTTCCCATCCAGATAAATATGACTATACACAAAGAAAATTTTGCATATTATTTTGGTAATTCAGAGAGTCCTCTTAAACATTTAGATTAAAAATCCATATTCTGGGGCTGGAGAGATGGCTCAGTGGTTAGGAACACTGTTCTTGCAGAAGACCCGGGTTCCAATCCCAGCACCCACATGGCAGCTAACAACTGTCCGTTACTCCAGTTCCAGGGGTCCGATAGCCTCTTCTGTCCTCCGCGGGGATTGCACGACACAGGTGCACTTACCTACATGTAAGCAAAACACGCATACACATAAAATAAAATAAAATAAAATAAAATTATTTTTTTAAAAAAAATCCATATTCCATAAAGTTAAATATACCCTCCTTCCCTTAAATAGGACAACTGTCATAAGAAACTGAAGTTATGACATAATTTGTAGAAGTCTCTTTTGAAAAGGAGAAATAACATATCAGATGTCTCTTTAACTGCCTTATTTTATGTAGTCACTTATTACAGCTTACTTCATCAAGCCCCTCATTATTACAGCTAATGTGGAAATCAGGTATCACTCCAAGAAAATGTACAAGTATATAGCCTTCCTCTGGCATCCTAGGGTTGTTGGCAAGCCACTAGATTATACCTGGCTGGTGCAGGAGCCACTTTTGGTTTATCAGTTTCAATGATGGTCTCTGTGATCATGGCTGCTGTGCTGCCTCCAGACACTGCAGAACTGCCAAATCCCCCAAATCCTGGTGCTTTTTTGCCCTGTCTCTCTGCATCTCTTCGGGCCTGTTGTAATTCCTTTGCTTTACGCCGCATCTCAGCCTTAGCTTCACGCTCTTGAGTCTATGGAAAGAGACATGCAAGCTATGTGTAGCTTTCAATACAGTCTGTATTATTAGCAAGCAAAACCAGGAAAATTAGATTAGTGAAGGCTAAGAGAAAGACATTCAAACTGACAGTCCCATAGAAGGCCCCACTTACCTCTCTGACTGCTCTGAACACTTTCTCCTCATGAGAATCCATTTCTGTGAAGGTTCTGATCTGTGCCAGGTTAACATTCTCTCGGTATCCCAGGGCAACAATTTCATCAAAAGCAAAAATCAAATCAAAACAGTGCTCAGATATTTCATTTTCCTCTAAAGCTCGGCAATATTCAGGGATCTAGCCATGGACAGCAATGAAAAAGAAAGATTCAGAATTTAACAGTAGCTATGTTTCTAAATCTTATCTTTTAAGACATATATTTCAAAAAAGATCCTAGCACTTGGGAGATGAGTGCAAGAAGATCAGGAGTTCAGGGTCATCCTTAACTACATATCCGAGCTTGGGCTTTATGAAACCTGTCTTAAAAAAACAGAAAACTTGGGAGGCAGAGGTAGGCGGATCTCTGTGAGTTCCAGGCCAGCCTGGTCTACATAGTGAGTTCCAGGCCAGCTGGGGCTACAGGGAGACCCTGTCTCAAAAAAACCATGAAAAAAAAAAGAACTAAGATACGAAAGAATGATTTCTGTATTCTTTTGGAATACTTATAACCTAGGAAGGTACCCAACAAATGTCTGCTGAGTGAATAGGAACTTCAGGGAAGGGATGTGGCTCAGTGATGACTTGCTAGAATGCATAAGGCCCTGGGTTCCATCTCTGGCACTGCAAAAAATGAACGAACAAACAGCAAATGAATGAATCAAAGAAATTTATGTTTATTTTTTATTTATTTATTTGAGACAGGGTCTCCCTGTAGCCCCACTGTCCTGGAACTCACTAGGTAGACCAGGCTGGCCTCGAACTCACAGAGAGCCACTTACCTCTGCCTCCCAAGTGCTGGGATTAAAGGTGTGCACCACCACGCCCGGCAGAAAGAAATTTTTTTGAAACAGGGTCTTACTATATAACCCTGGTTGGCCTACGACTTATGTAGGCCATGCTGGTGTCAAACTCACAGAGCTACTCAAACTCATCAGCTACTTTAGAGGAAAAACTCATTTCAACCAAAAATGTAATATAGTAAGAAGTGGAATCCAGGATTGTAGGCCTCTTACCACTCTTGAGAAGAGCCTTAGAGTCTCCAAATCTTCTAAAATGTTGCTGTTTTTGGTAGTGATCAGTACCATGTATAGTTTCTCCATAGGCTGATAGACATATCTTACACTCTCCGTTTCAACAAAAGTATGTTGTTTTCCAGTGTTCATAAGTTTTGGAAAAGCTGCTAGTAAGCCCTCAATCCGAGTTCGGGTCATCTCTACAAATTGTCGAGAAACAATAGCTTTTCCTGCTTTTGTGCAGACTGCGGCTGCCAACAGCACCTACAAGGAACATATGTATAAATAAGTACTAGTTAATTATTTCTTCACATCTGTTTTCTCAGCATCTCAGGAGAGCTTCCATACAACTGCACATTCAGTTAGTGGCATGACTTACAGCATGTAATTTATAAAACAAAGTTAAAGTAGAAGAAAATAAAGCCATTATTCCACAACGTACCTAAAAAAAAACTTTAACAAAAAATAGTTTTTGCCTACCGTGTGCAAAGACCCAGGTTCTATCACCAGCCTTACACATACCCACACACAACCACAGAGGAATGTTCTCCAAAGTCTATTACTTACATTATTATCTACTTATTGTATGTGTGCGTGCATGTGTGTGAATGTGCACAAGCCACAGTGCTTACCTGTGTAGAGGACAGAAGATAACTTGTGATAGTTCTCTCTCTTCACTGTACAGGTCCCAGACCAAACTCTGGTCATCAGGCTTGGCAGCAAGCACCTTTCCCTGCTGAGCATTCTTACCAACCCCTTAAATTCACATTATTAATGAGCCACCTATGACTCAGACCAGGGCTGCTCTCTGCTTTGATACAACTATAAAAAACAGATTGAACACTTTCTAAAAACCATAGAGATTTCAACAGCCAACACAGAAGTTTGATCAGGCAGATTAAAAGCATATAAGAGAGCCAGGCATGGTGGCACATGCCTTTAGCCCCAGCACTCCAGGAGGCAAAGGCAGGGAGATCTCTGAGTTCAAGGCCAGCCTGGTCTACATAGTGAGTTCCAGGCCAACTGGGGCTATAAGGAGACCCTGTCTCAAAAAGACCAAAAAAAAAAAAAGTATATAAGAAAGGTGAGTGTAGTTGCACATGCCTATAATTCCAGCACTCAGGATGCTCAAACAAGAGGAATATATAGCCTAGGCTACATAACTGTCTCAGGAAAAAAAAAAAAAAAAGTGGTATATAGTAAGCCCTGACCTTTCCTTTTCACTTGGAATATGAAAACACTTTAGTACGTCTAAATTGTCTTCTGCTCTTTGAACCACTTTCCTGTTCCCCTCTATCCTATTCCTAGATATACAGACAAGATGCATGCAAAATGACAACCTAAATAACCTAATGTTTCATACAGGTTTTGACAGAGCTATGATTGAGGTACAACTTTCTTCTAGCAGCTACCATTTCATTAAACAAAAGAAATGAAAACATGGAAGAGGACCCTCAAATGCCAGAATGAGAGGAACAGGAAAACTAAGTAGTGTGCTGTCTCTTCAGGGCAGGAGTCCAAGAGTTCACAAGCACTGCCGCTACCACCACCACAAAAGTTATGGACATACCTGAGAAGCCCCTCGCTAAGACACAATGTCTTAAGACACCAAGCCCTACTTCTTAACTTGCTGGAAACCTGTCCATTACAGGTGAGCAATTTGAAAAAACAATTTAAATATTCTTAGACTGTCAACAGTTATTTCTCTTTCCTTTTTTGTAGTACTACAGATTGAACCCAGGGCCTCTGACATATTAAGCAAGCATGCTATATATCCTCAGCATTTCATCTATTTTTAAATTTTATCCTATTACAGCATCTTCCTAAGTTGCCCAGGCAGGCTTCAAAGTTAAGCTCCTCCTGCTTTAGCCTCCAAAGTAGCTGGGATTATAGGTGCACAATACAGCCATCCATTGTCAATCTATTTATATAGTTTTATAGTAACTATAGGAGACTGCAGTATTTGTATTCATAGAGACTAGTGATCCTAGCACACAGGAAGTAGAGGCAGGAGGATCATAAGTTCAAGGTTATCCTAAGCTACATAGTGAGTTCAAGGCCAGCCTAGGCTACGAGAGACCTTGTCTCAAAAACAAAACAAAACAAAACAAAAAAAACATAAGGTATCTGGGAGAAAATTACCATCATGCTTGTCTCTAAACAGCAGGATAAAGTAAATCCATAATGAGAGCTAGAGAGATGGCTCAATGGTTAAGAGCACTTACTGCTCTTCCAGAGGGCCAGGGTTCTCAGCACTCATATGGTGGCTAACAGTCATCTGTAACTCCAGTTCCAACAAGGGATTCAATGGCCTCTTCTGGCCTCCTTAGGCACCAGGCACACACATGGTGTACTTACATACATGCAGGTAAAACACTCATATACATAAAACAAAATCTTTAAAAAAATAAACATAATGGAAAGTGTTTTATCTGTATCCAGCGTAAGTAATTTCCCTCCACTGAATGGATTTCTATTTTTACTGACTTGATTTACTTCAATTGGGAATTTTTCTCATGTCCAAATCTCAAGAGATAATACTATCATCTGCTCCACTTCCCAAGTAACAAAGTTAGACTTAAGCCAGGTATGGTGGCGCACACCTTTAATCCCAGCACTTGGGAGGCAGAGGCAGGTAGATCTCTGTGAGTTCCAGGCTGGCTGGGGCTACAGGGAGACCCTGTCTCAAAAAGACAAAAAAAACAAAAAAAAACAAAAACAAAAAAAAGTTAGACTTAAGAGAGTTATAAAATTCTGCTGTGTCTCTGACTCTATAAACTATCAAAATTTTCCTTATCTCAGCTTGGTAGTACCCACGCCCCCTTACATGCTAAGCAAGTGCTCTACTACTACATCTCCAACTGCTGGTTTTGTTGTTCTGCTTTGCTTTAAGACAGGACCACCTATGTAGCTCAAACTGACCTGTAACTTTCCATCCTCCTGCCTATGCCTCCTGAATGCTAGGTTAATGTGCATGTGCTACCATGTCAGGCCTGAATAATGATTTATTTCTTTAGTTGTTTGTTTTTTTTATGTGTATACGTGATTGCCTACATGTAGGTTAGTGTACCGTGTTGTGCAATGCCCACGGAGGACAGAAGAGGCCGTCGGGTCCCCTGGAACTGGAGTTTCAGACAGTTGTTAGTTGCCATGTGGGTGCTGGGATTCAAATCCGGGTCTTCTGCAAGAACAGCCAGTGTTCTTAACCACTGAGCCATCTCTCCAGCCCCGTTGTTGTTCTTTTTGACACAGGGTCTCCCTGTAGCCCCAGCTGGCCTGGAACTCACTATGAGACCAGGCTGGCCTTGAAGTCATAGAGATCTGCCTTCCTCTGCCTCCTGAGTGCTGGGATTAAAGGCGTGTGCCACCACACCAGGCTTCTTTAGTTTTTTTAAAAAGCATGTGTATAAGTGCCTGGTACCTGAGGAAGCCAGAAGAGGGTGTCAGATCCCCTGGACCTTGAGTTAGAGACGGTTGTTAGCCACCACATGGGTGATGGATACAGAATCCAGGTCCTCTGGAAGAACAACCAGTGCTCTTAGCCACTAAGCCATCTCTCCACCTCCTCCCCATCCCCTTTCTTAAACATTAGGATCTTTCAAAAAGATTTATTTTAGTTTATTTGTATTTGTATGAGGGTTTTGCCTGCATGTATATATGTGTATTATGTGCATGCCTGGTGCCTGTAGAGACCAGAAGACGACATCAGATCCTTTGGAACTAGAATTACAGACAGGTAGGTAGGTGCTAGCCACTAAATGGGTGCTGGAAACTGAATCTAGTCCACTGCAAGAGCAAAAATAGGCAAATCTCAGACCATATAGTATTGCCGAAAAGGCAGACTTCTGGTTCAATGAAAGAGCCTGTCAAGGCAGTAAGGCATAGAGTGATAGAAGACACCCAACATTCTGCACCACACAAATCACACCACACCACACACAAAGATTCCTCCGCAGCATTGCACGACACGGGTGCACTCACATACATGCAGGCAATACACTCATACACATAAAATAAGAATAATAAAGAACTGCCAGGTGTGGTGGTGCACACCTTTAATCCCAGCACTCAGGAGGCAAAGGCAGGTGGATCTCTGTGAGTTTGAGTCCAGCCTGGTAGGGAGACCAGGCCAGCTGGGGCTATAGCGAGACCCTGTCTCAAAAAGGCCAAAAAAAAGAAAGAAAGAAAGAAAGAAAATATTTTTAAAAATTAAAATAAAAAAAAAAGAACAATATTCTATAGATAGGCAAAGATTTTAGCGATGAATGCTATTATGGGACTTACTATCATTTACTGAAATGTAAAGTTAATCCTATAATGATATTTGATAAATGTTAAGAAAATTAAACTTTCAGAAAAATAGGCCAAAAAAAAAAAAATCAAACCAGAAGATGTCGCTCCATTGGGTGTGATGGTACAAGCCTGTAAGGCTGAGACAGAAAGGTAGGAAGGAGTCCCAGGCAGCAGGGGCTACACAGAAAGACCTTGTAGTGTAAAAAGAAAGAAAAAGAATGGATGCTTCTTTTGTACTTCATGTTATAATATAAGCCACTTCTTTTTGCATTTTATTCATTTATGTTTCTATAGAGACCACAGTCTAGGATACTTTGCAGATACTCAATAATGAAGGCCAAAGAATTTATCTTTCAAAAACAATGTTTATGTACCTATAACTTACTCTGAAATATATTTTTTTATATTATTTTATGTGTATGTGTGTATTGCCTGCATGTAGGTAAGCGCACCCACGTCATGCAATGCCTGCAGGGGACAGAAGAGGCTGTCGGATCCCCTGAACTGGAGTTACGGACAGTTGTTAGCTGCCATGTGGGTGCTGGGATTCAAACCCGGGTCTTCTGCAAGAACAACCAGTGTTCTTAACTGCTGAGCCATCTCTCCAGCCCCTGAAATATATTTTTAAAAAGATGGAAGTGGGGGGGGGGGAGCTAGAGCGATGGCTCAGTGATTAAGAACTCAGTAATGTTCTTTCAAAGGCCCTGAGGACGTAGCTCTCAACCTCCAGTAACTCCAGCTCCAGGGGATCCACTGCCTTTGGCTTCTTCAGGCACTTACATTCATGCGCACCTGCACTCACGTGCACATACCACTCCCATACACATACATGACTAAAAATGAAATAAACCTTTAAAAAAAAAAAAAAGGAAAGAGAAGTATGGATGATTAAGTGTATGGTAAAATAATTATAGTCAAATGTTAAGAAAAACAAGTTGATAGTTACATGATTGTTCATTTTAAAGTTCTTCCAAATTTTCCAGATGTTTGAAAGCCATATAATAAAATGTTGAGGAAAAACTACAAGTTTTGATACAACTTTGAGATCAAAATTTCACTCTATTTGGACATTTCAGGGAACAGGGATCTCCTTCTAGTTACTATACTGAAGTAATACCATGTCTTAGAGCAGAATGTGCTCAGATGAAATTCAGATACACAAGTCTAGAGCTCGTCACACCAAGTCTCTAACATTCAAATACAGAACAGAGCTGTATGAATACATATCAAAAGAAGACGCAAATATCACTCAACACCTAGAGCTTTATCATTCCTCAATTATCAATGTACTTAAAATATTAAGTTCCAAGAACATTTTAACAAACATTGTGGTAAAGATGAACTATATTTGGTTTATATAACTTAAATTTTGCTATTAAAATCATATACTCTAACATGCACTATAAATACTTCCTAAAATGTAAAATAATTACTTATTTTTTATGTGTATGAGCTGTATGCCTGCATGTATAGAAGTGCACCTGTGTCATGCAACGCCCACAGAGTACAGAAGAGGGCATCAGATCCCCTGGAACTAGAGCTGCTGAATATTGTTAGCCGCCATGTGGGTGCTGGGATTCAAACTCCTGCAAGAACAGCTGCTCTTAACCACTGAGCCATCTCTTCAACCCCGTAAAACATTTTTAATAAGTACTAGCCAGTCAGGTCTTGGTGGCACAGCCGTTAGTCCCAACACTTGAAAGGCAGAGACAGTTGGATCTCATGGGCTAGCCTGGTCTACACTGAGTTTGAGGCAGCTGGAGCTACAGGAAAGACTGTCTTAAAAAAATAAAAGGCACAGCTTGGCGTAGTGGCGCATGCCTCTAGTCCCAGCACTCAGGAGGCAGAGGCGGGCAGATCTCTGTGAGTTCTAGGCCAGCTGGTGCTACAGGGAGCCCCTGTCTCAAAAAGACTGAAAATAAACGAATGAATAAATAAATAAAATTTTAAAAGTCACTAGCCAAATACTGAACCTCCTTGTGGAACTGGAAAAAAAAATGAGGTTTCGGAAATCTTATATCTAACACTAAAGATTTGGGAGGTAAGCCTGCTTGATGCATTTTATATGCTTGAGGCTGGAAAAGAAACTTCCCAGTCATTTAAAAGCCAAGCATGAGTCTTCCCCTCGAACCGAGTCCTCGTCTAAGGAGTGGTCCAAAGAACTTAAAATGCCGAACACCAAATTACATTGTCATCTCTTAAGCACACAAAATGCGTTCAAAGTACCTATTTACAAGAAAAAGAAAAGAGGAGGAGGGCATTCTTCAAAAGAAGAATTACTAGCTTGTTTGACACGGTAGAATCTTTTCTACTTCATGAATATCTACAGATTACAGCTGATAGAACAGGATTTGTGGAGTCAGCAGCTGTCTTCTCCCATCCTCACCCTCATCTATTTTTCCTATCTCGGTAATAAGACAAACACACAAAGCTTACGCATCTGAAGGTCCCGGAGCACAGCCCACCCCGCACACTGAAGAGCGGACGCCACACGCACGTCACTCCACCGCACCAAGTAAGTTCCTGGGAGACGGAAAGCCCCGGTTCTGTCACTCCGCTTCCCAATACTCTACCAGCCGCCCTCCTCGCCACCGCCCTCCTCGCCACCGAATGGGCACTAGGAAGCTCAACCCAAGGTCCGGAGGCGTCGGGGACACTGGGTCCTACAAACGGGTGTCACAAGTCGCTCCTTCCGTGACGCCTCCACTTTCCCCCTCGATAAAAACAAAAGACGAGCTTAAGGCAGCGCGCAGGTCCCGGAGGTCCCGCCGCCCGCCCGGAGCTCCCGGGGAAGCGGCTGGACGTGAGCGCGGAAGGCTCACGCGACAGCACGAGCGGGCGCGCGCGGAGCTTCGCCCCGGGTGGGCCGCGGCGCCGGAGGCCGTGGGCGCGGCGCGGGGCCAGGACAGCTCGCTCGGGTGTCCCGGGAGGCTGCGCCAGGGCCGGGCCGAGCGATGCGAGAAGGCTCCGGGCTCCGGACCCTCGGGCGGGGTTCAGCCGCCCTGTGCGGCCGGCGGGGACGCGGCCCGGAGCCCCGAGCGGCCCGGCGGGACTCTTACCATGGTGAGGACGCAGGTGGGACACGCCCGCGCTCTGGCTCCGCTGGGGTTCGGGCTGCGGCCGGGGGAAGCGGAGCACCGGCCGCTCCGGACCTGCTACCCCCTGACAGGAGCCGCCGCCGCTTCGCCTCCTGCCAAGATGGCGGCCCCGAGCCACGTCTCCAACCGGAAACAGCGCGGGTCAAAGGACGGGGGGGCGGGGCCGGCGGTCTAGGGAGCTCCGGATACCGGGATGCTCCTTCCTCCGTTAACCCGGGATTTGCGAGAATTTCGCCCGCAGCTTCGGAACATCATCCGTGTTCCTTTTCGTTGTCTTAGCTTGCGGTTCATTTGGCGCCACTTCTTACAGTTTGTAAAGCCACTCGGTAATGTAATATGTAAAACAATCTGTGTGCACGAGGGACTAGTATCCAGAATACATAAAGAACCCATAACTCTATAATAAGCCCCGCATGAGGGCCTAGAATCCCAGCACTCAGGAGTCCAAGGCAGGAGGATCGACCTTGGTTTCAGTATGTCATTAAAGGCCAACCTGGTAATACATAGGGCGACTTAACATCCTCTCCCCCACAAATAAAACAAGCCAGGGCCAGCAAGATGTCTCAACTGGTAAACCGAACAACTAGAACTAACTCCTGAAAGTTGTCCCCTGACCTTCACATGTAGTATGGCTGCACACACACACACATGCACCCATTCACAAATACAATGGTAAAGTCTTAAAAAGATTTAAAACAAAAGAATAAAATACTGTCATATGCTACACCATTGGTTAACCTTGAAAACAGTTTTAAAAAGATTCAAAGGCCATAATTTATATGTAATGTCCAAAATAGGCAAATCCATAGAAACAAAAAGCAGATTAGAGGTTTCATGGCATTCAGGAAGAAGAATAGGGGGTGACTACTAGTGAGTGAGAAACTTATTTTTGGAGTAATTGTTTGGAATTAGAGCTAAATACTAAAATCAGGGATATACTAAAATCCCCTGAATTGTATACTTTAAAAGGGCGAGTTTTGTTTATTTGTTTGTTTAGGGGATGGAGAGATGGCTCAGCAGTTAAGAGTATATATTGCTCTGACAGAGCCGCCCACCCCCAAATACACATAAATTAAATCTTACTCTTTTTTTTTTTTTGTCTTTTTTTGAGACAGGGTCTCTCTGTAGCCCCAGCTGTCCTGGAACTCACTTTGTAGACCAGGCTGGCCTCGAACTCACACAGAGATCTGCCTACCTCTGCCTCCTGAGTGCTGGGATTAAAGGTATGCACCACTTCGCCTGACCCCTAAAGGATGAGTTTTTAAGGTTTGTGAATTACATCATCTTTTAAAAGTGAGGTTAGCAGTGTCCAGTCTATAAAGAGGAGGGTCAACACAGGAATCATTTCCTCCATGCTTCCAAGAGAAGCCAACAATGGTTGAGCAGGACCTTTGACTTATCTTCACATAGATGGAACTGGTAAAAGAAAGGAGCCAGGGGCTCCTCCCAAGCCCATGGGACCCCTGAGGAACAGATCCTCAAACGACCTCAAGAGTAAAAACAAATCAGTTTATCTGCGCCAATTGCATGTCCTTAAACACCCAAAAGGGAAGTATAACCAAAGATTAAAGGGGCCAATATAATTTCATAAGAGCATACATATATATAGCTAAAAGTTACTTGACAAACAGCAAAGCCAGACAGGCAATACCTTCAGTCGAGTTGTTGGCCAGGATGGATAAAGGCTCTTCCAGATAGTAACCCAACATACTACTGGAAAAATGAACAGCAGACCCCAATTCTATCCAAAGGAATACTGACAATGGATTGCCGTAGATGAGGAACAGCTGATCCTCCTGGAACAGGGACCTCTGGCTGACTAGATTTACCAGAAGGGCAGATAGGGGGGAATAGATGGGGGTGCTGACAACACAGTGGACAGTGGCAGGGATGGCAGAGTATGGAGGCTCTAGTGGGAGAGGAAGGCTGTCTATCTGACGAGTTTATATTCATGCTCAGATGCCAAGGAACTCAGAAAGTAAGCGACTGTGACCAGTGATAGTCATTATCTAGAGATTAGAAATGCATGTGAAAACGTCTCAATGTCAACTGCCTTAAAATGAATTTTTCTGTATGAAACTGTGTATTTTAACAAAAAAAAAAAGTGAGGTTAGGCCTAAGGAGATTGATCTCCAGCACTGCATAAACCTCTTGTGGTGGCAAATGCCTGTAATCCCAGAATTTGGGAGATAGAAACAAGTGAATCAAGTTCAAGTGAATAAAGTTCAAGGTCATCCTTAGCTACATAGTTTGAAGCCAGCCTGGGCTAGAGACTCTGTTTAAAAAAACAAAAACAGCCAGGCGTGGTGGCGCAAGGCAGAGGCAGGTGGATCCCTGTGAGTTCAAGGCCAGCCTGGTCTACATAGTGAGTTCCAGGACAGCTGGGGCTACAGAGAGACCCTGTCTCAAAAAGACCAAAAAAAAAAAAAAAAACCCACAAAAACAAACAAACAAAAAACACCCCAAGAGTGTCAAGAAGGAAGGAAGGAAGAGAAACAGAAAATATGGGGTCAGTGATATGGTCGGGGTAAAGGCACTTGCTGCAACAGTCTGGAGACCTGAGTTCAGTTTTGAAATATAAAGGTAGAAGAATCAACTCCACAAACTTGTCCTCTGACTTCCATACGTGCGCCATGGTGCACATTCCAACATACATGCATCACACTTACACACACACACAATAATTATTTTTTAATGTTTTATTTATTTATTTATTTATTTATTTATTTATTTATTTATTTATTAACTTACAGAAATCCGACTGCCTCTGCCTCCTGAGTGCTGGGATTAAAGGTGTGTGCCACCACGCCCGGCAATGTTTTATTATTTTTATTTTATGTGTATGAGTGTTATGCCTGCATGTAGGTAAGGGCACCCGTGCCATGCAATGCCCGAGGAGGTCAGAAGAGGCTGTTGGATCCCCTGGAACTGGAGTTATGGACAGTTGTTAGCTGCCATGTGGGTGCTGGGATTTGAATCTGGGTCTTCTGTAAGAATAGTCAGTGTTCTTAACCACTGAGCCATGTCTCCAGCCCCTAAATAAGTTTTAAAAGATTTTATGTTATGTCTATGTGTGTGCGTGTATGTGTGTGTGTGTGTGTACCGTGTGCATGAAGTACCCACAGAAGCAGAAGAGGCCATTTAGATACCCTGGAACTGGAGTTACAGATAGTTATGAGTTGCCATATGAGTGCTGGGAACTGAACCTAGGCTCTCTGCAAGAGCAGCAAGTGCTCTTAACCTTTGAGTCATTTCTATATACCCAAGTAGATTTTTAAAAAATATTTTTATTTTATGTGTATGAGTGTATTGTCTGCATGTGTGTAAGTGCACTCACATCGTGTAGTACCCACAGAGATCAGAAGAGGGAATAGGATCCCCTGGAACTGGAGTTACAGACAGTAGTTAGCTACAATGTGGGTTCTGGGAATGAAACCCAGTCCTCTACAAGAGCAGTGCTATTAACTGCTGAGCCATCTCTTCAGTCCTGTAGACCCAAATAGAGCTTTTAAAAAAGTAAAAGAGCCAGGTGTGGTGGCGCCCACCTTTAATCCCAGCACTTGGGAGAGGCAGGTTGATCTTTGTGAGTTCAAGGCCAGCCTGGTCTACATAGTGAGTTCCAGGACAGCTTAGGGACTACAGGGAGACCCTGTCTCAAAAAGACCGAAAAAGAAAAAAAAAAAAAAAAAAAGGAAAAAAAGTGAAAGAAAATGTTTAGTTTATGGATGTAGCTCAGGGTTCAAGTGCTTACCTAGCATGCTCAAGAGCCTGGGCTCCATACCCAGAACCAAAAACTAATACAAAAACCAACAAAAGCCATCCATGGGCAGTTACTGTGCTTATGTCTATTTGTCCATTTTGTATATGAATAAAATGATGATATGTTTATGTAATTTACCTGAAGTTTCTAGACCAGTATATGATAGATTTAGATCTCAGGGGCTGGAGACATGGCTGAGTGGGTAGAGTGCTTGCCTAGCATGCACAAAGCTTTGGGTTCGACCCCCAGCATCACATAAAATTGGGAATGGTGGCACACACCTGTAAACCCAGCACTTAGGAACTAGAGTCTGCAGGAAGATCAGGAGTTCAAGGTCATCATCAACTACATAAAAAATTCAAGGCCATCCTGAAATATATGAATCCCTGCCTTAAAAACAAACAAACAAACAAACAAAAAACCCTCAAATCTAGCCTTCAAATCGTTTCAGATTTTTTGTTTTGTTTTGTTTTTTATTTGTTTGAGACAGGGTCTCATGTAGTCCAGGCTGGCCTCAAACTCACTATGTATCCAGAGGATGACTTTTAATTCCTGATCCACCTGTCTCTACCTCCCTTGTTCTGAGATTACAGGCATGCATTTCCATGCCTGGTTTGGGGGTGCTGGGGATCTGTTTCAGGGCTTTACACATGCTAGGCAAGCATTCTGCCAACTGACCTATACCCCCAACCTTACACATGTTATCTTTAATCCTTGACAACAATTCAATAAAGACATTAAAGATCAAAGAAGTTAAGCACTTGGCCAAACTTACAGTCAGTAATCAGTAGAGCCAGGATTCAAATTCAGCTTTTCTCATTAAACACATTGCGTCTCTATCTTTTGTGCATTCCCTGACATTTATTGACCACTTATAAGGTACAAGGTTAACATGCAGAATATCTCAATTAATTCTTAAAGCTGAACATGGTATATGCCTTTAATTCCAGCACTTGGGAATCAGAAGCAGGCAGCTCTCTGAGTTTGAGGCCAGCCTGGCTTATATAGCAAATTCCAGATCAGCCAGGGCCATATAGACCATACCTCAAAAACAGAAACAATCACCATGAAAACAATGATTCTCTGAGCAGCTGTTGGTAGTATTTAATAACGTGTTTAAATGGTATTAATTACTGGCTGATAATTAGGATGTGTTCCCTTCCAGGTGACCTGTGAAAATAGTTCACTACTCTCTTGACCCAGTAAACCCTACAAAATCATGCAAATCAAGAGGTTTCAATCTTTGTGTTCACTTTAAGAACACACATGAAACTGCCCAGGCCATCAAGGGTATGCATATCTGAAAAGCCACCAAGTGTCTGAAAGATGTCACTTTAAAGAAGCAATGTGTGCCATTCTGGCAGTGTAA